ATAAAATGTGCTCTGTGCAAGCACCAGACCTGAGTTTGGATCCCCAGCACCCGTGCAGAAACACACACCCACGGTCTCAGAGAGAGAGGTGGACACAGAAAGATCTCTGGGTACGATAAGCGAGCCAATGTAGCCAAAGCAGTGAGTTTTAGGTTCAGTGAGAGACCATGTCTTTAACAATTAGGTGAACAGGGGCTGGAGAGATGGCTCAGAGGTTAAGAGCATTGCCTGCTCTTCCAAAGGTCCTGAGTTCAATTCCCAGCAACCACATGGTGGCTCACAACCATCTGTAATGGGGTCTGATGCCCTCTTCTGGCCTGCAGGCATATACACACAGAGAGAATATTGTATATATAATAAATAAATATTTTTTTAAAAAAAAAACAATTAGGTGAACAGCAATCCGGGACACCTGACACCAACTTCTGGCCTCCATATACACATGTGCACACACACAAATATGCACACATTGACACATACACATATACAAAAAGGCAGAAATTTAAAAGAAAAAAAAAGACATCTGAGCTGGGCATAGTGGAACACACCTTTAATCCCAGCATGCAGGAGACAGAGGCAGGCAGATCTATTTGAGTTTGAGGCCAACCTGGTTTACAGAGCGAGTTCCAGGACAGCCTCCAAAGCTACAGAGAAACCCTGTCTTAAAAGATCAAGGTGGTCCATGCTGAAACCTCTTCTCACCCAATGAGCTGAAAGAGAGCCAACAGCTCACTTTCCGTGTAATGATATTTAGCGCTTTCATGTACTTTACCACCAAAGGGCGGCAGATGCAACTGCTCCAACCAGGAAGTAGCTCAGAAACAGACAAAGGAACTAACAAAGCAAACACTGATGCGGGGAACGTGAAACTCTCAGAGCATGAACTGTCACTGCTGCGGGACAGGCCCACGTCTCAGCACACTGACATGATAATGGAAGTGCCACTCAGGCCCTGGGACCCAGCACATAGACAGCAACATCGACCAAAATGAGATCAAAGACCTAATCTATCAAAGTCCATAGTTTTGGAAAAGTCCCTAAATGACGCGTGTCAACCCAGGATGTGATTTTTGTGCTTAAAACCCCACCCTGGGAAAGGCTAGGGACTGCACTTGGGACCTGAACACCTAGTGTTGCCACCAGTCAGCTAATAAAGACTTTTTATTGCCTTGAATCTGTGTCCGAGTGGTCTTCTCTGGTGGAAAACTCACTACAGGTCCTCACCCAGCGACCCTCTGAATGAGCACATAACTTGGGAGTCACAGCAGGCGTAGATGACACCATTACAGAGCTGAAAGACATCTCCCCTACCAGAAAGCACTGGTTTGAAAAGTCCAGACCTCTGCAGCCTCCAAAGTACATTCCTGTCTCCAAGCCTCCGGGCTGTGGGGAAAGGTTTATCACCATGGCTACGCGAAAGAAGCAAGAAGCAGTCTGACTGTGATATCAACCTTCAGTCTTCAACGCTGGTGAGTGGTACGAAGAATCTCCAAAACTGGCTGCTACTGTTTCGACCTTGCCACAAAGCCAGACCCTCCCACCATCTCATAAAGACTCCTTTCCACAAAGCTGTTCAAGTTCAGACCATGAAACCTCAGGCGCAAGGACAGCTCGGTGTGTGAGTCTCTGGGATTGAATTCAGATCCTGATCACAGCTCTAAGTCACAGTGATGGACCCTGACTAGGCCTTGCGAAGGAGAACGCCTGTGAGATTGCACTTCAAGCAGCCTGCTCCAAAACAAAGACACAATCTTGAATCTCATCTTAAACAATGAAGATGTGGTTAGGCACGCAGACCTGCTAGAAGTTGCCCTGGAAACTGACGGGGTTTTCAGGAAGTGACCCAAAAAAAAAAAAGAAAAAGGAGATGCTAGGCCTGACACCTTTAATCCCAATACTCAGGATACAGAGGTAGGCAGATTCTTTGAATTCAAGGCCAGCCCAGTCTACAAAGCAAGTTCCAGAACAGCTAGGGCTACATAGAGAAACCTCGTCTCAAAAATAAATAAATAAAAACAAAATAACCAAAAAGAAACGTGGGCTGCTGCCCTCGTGTATGCAAGTTTGCATGTGCGTGTGTGCATGCATGTGCGTGTGTGCATGCATGTGTGTGTGTGTGGCGGGGAGAGGAAATATACTAACTCTATACCAGGAGAAACTCAAGAACAGCCTGTGCAACAGTAGCTCTGCACCCCACAACTGCAAAAGTGAAGAAGTCAGAACTTTTAACCCGTGTTTGTTTAGAGTAAGAGTAAAGATCCTTTATATGGTTCAGTGAGCTAGTTTGCTGTAGAAGCTTATCTGAGAGGACCAAGTGCTCTAAAAACACACAAAGCCAGCAGGGTGGTGGTGGTGCTCACCTTTAATCCCAGCACTCGGGAGGCAGAAGCAGGCGGATCTCAGTGAATTCGAGGCCAGCCTGGTCTACAAGAGCTAGTTCCAAGACAGGCACCAAAGCTACACAGAAACCCTGTCTCGAAAAAAATAAAAAACAGAACAACAACAACAACAACAACAAAAAACCACACAAAGCCACTCAATGTCAGCCTGGTCTACAGAGAGTTCCAATAACAGACTAAACCTCTGAACTGTAAGCAAGTCACCCCAATTAAATGTTTTCATTTATAAGAGTTGCCATGATCAACTGGGCAGTGGCGCACACCTTTAATTCCAGCACTCAGGAGACAGAGGCAGGTGGATCTCTGTGAGCTCGAGGTCAGACTGGTCTACAGAGCAAATTTCTCCATAGCCACTGAGAAACCCTGTCTCAAAAAAAATAAAATAAAATAAAAAATAATAAAAATAAAATGACTTTCTGTAGTCATGGTATCTCTTCACAGCAATAGAAACCCTAACTAAGACACTACTTTTGGAACAAAGCACTGGAGAATCCCTCCATGACCTTGTTTGACACAAAATCCTCTTCAACAGGGTCCAGAATCTAAAAATATCCACCATAAAGTGTTGCAGAATACTTGTTTAATTTTGTAAAGATGTATTTCACTTGTCAATGTTGTGTAATATTTGTAACTATGTAAAGATGTGTTGATGTTTTACCTTGCCTGCCTAAAGCACCTGATTGGTCTAGTAAAAAGCTGAATGGTCAATAGCAAGGGAGGAGATGTATGTGGAATTTCCAGGCAGGAAAAGTAAATAAGAGGAGGAATTTAGGCTCAAGGAAAAAAAGAAAAGGAGAAAACAGGGAGATACCAACGGTCAGACAGACAGACACAGAAAAAGCAGGAAAGTAGGTCATACAGAATGAAAGAAAGGTAAAAAGTCCAAGTCAAAATGCAGATGACTAGAAACAAGTTAAATTAAGTTAAAAGAGCTAGTCGGACAAGCCTAAGCTAAGGTCGAGCATTCATAATTAATAATAAGTCTCCGTGCCTTTATTTGGGAGCTGGTTGGCAGTTCAAGCAAAATTCCAACTACAAAAAGGAAAATGGATCAACTAGACCACATTAAATAAGAAACTCCTCAAAAGAAAAGACCACAAGTAGAAAATTCTTAGAATACACAAATCCAATAAAAGATTTATATTTAGAACATACAAGAATTCCTTCAAGTCAAGAAAAAAGGCAAACAATCCTGTAGGAAAGTAGACAGAGGCTTTAGTAGGCACTTTGTAAAGAGAATATCCAGATCTCCGCTAACCCACTGAAAGGTGCTCATACTTCCTTAGTTAGCAGACAGATGCAAACTAAGGGGCCCATAAGACAGCTCGGTGGGTAAAGGTGCCTGTCATCAAGCCTGGCACCCCACACTCAATGCCTCAAACCCATTTAATGAGAGCTAGCCTTTGACTTCCACTAGTATATATGTGTGTGCATTTGAGTGTGCAAGCATATGCACATACACACATATGTTAAAAGTAACAACAACGGGCTGGAGAGATGGCGCAGTGGTTAAGAGCATTGCCTGCTCTTCCAAACGTCCTGAGTTCAATTCCCAGCAACCACATGGTGGCTCACAACAATCTATAATGAGGTCTGATTCCCTCTTCTGGCCTGCAGGCAAACACACAGACAGAATATTGTATACAAAGTAAATAAAAAAATATTTTTTAAAAAAAGCCTGGCATATATTTCCATTTCCTATAATCCCAATTCTTCTAAACTAAAATAACTAACTATAGAATAAAAGGTAAAATAGACAATCTAAGTCAATAATAAATGATGCCAGAAAAATTAATATAGTTACATAAAAATGGTTGTAGCCGGTGTAGGTGCACCCCTTTAATCTCAGCACTCAGGAGGCAGAAGCAGGCAGATCTCTGTGAGTTCAAGGCCAGCCTGGTCTACATAATGAGTTCTAGGACAGCCAAGGCTACATAGTGAGACCCTGTTTCAAAAAAACAAGAACAATAAATAAAATAAAACAACACAAAAAGACAACACAGAAAGGATGTGTTTACAACTACAGTTTTGCAATATAACCAGGAATTAGATCTGGGGGGAGGGGCTCTGGAGAGATGGCTCAGCAGTTAAGAGCACAGCTGCTCTTGTAGAGGACCTGGTTTCAGTTCTCATCAGTCATGTGATGGCTAACAACCATCCATAATTTTAACTCCAGGGACTCCAACATCCTCTTGAGACTTCCAATGATACCAGGCAAACATGGGTGCACATATACACATGCAAGCAAAACATGCACACACATAAAGTGAAATAAAAGAATCTAAAAACAAATATAAAAGTAAAAAAAGGGGGGGGGGAGATGGCTCAGCTGAGGACTTGAGTTCATTTCTGGTGTTGGTGTTAAAGAGTAATGTCAGCGTGGTGGCTGTGATCATGCTTTTAATCCCGGGGGAGCCAGCCTAACTTACACAGCAAGTTCAAGACAGCCAGGGCTACATAGTGAAACCCAGTCTCAAAGTAAGAAAAAACAAAACAAAAAAATAATAATAATAAACAAAACAAAGACAAATAAAGGAGCAGTAATGCTACTATTTTGAAACATCAGTCAGCAATCATATCCCTCCAACCCACTTGACTTACTCAGGGTGTTGTGGTCAGTGTGAATACCTTGAATAACAGATGTTCTGAGTAGCAGTTCAACATCAGAACCCACTTTCAACATCTGTTAAGAAAATCAGACAGTCAACCCTGAGTGCTTCGTAGGGCCGAACTGGTTTTGAAATCAACAGCTTTACAGGTCACTTTCTGATAATGTGGCTTTTAGCTCTGTGCAACTGTATCGGGTAGTATAGGCAGTGCAAACATTTCATTTTATCAAGCCCTAATTTTGTCCAAACAGATTTAGAACTTTGCTATAATATGCATTTTAAAATGCGTTGGGGGCTGGGCATGGTAGATCATGTCTTTACTCCTAGCGCTTTAGAGGCAGAGGTCAGCCTGGTCTGCATAGTGAGTTCTAGGACAGCGGAACTACATTAGTGAGACCCCCATCTCAAAATAAAAATAAAACAAACAAAAAAGCCATTTTATCTAATTTGTTATTCACTTGTACAGATGCTATTAATTATTATAGATATTCTCTTATTTGTATTTTCTCTTTTACCAATCAATTCTCCATGCCATAAAAATCCCCACAATTTTCTTTTCTCACTTTTTTTAAGGCAGTCCCTCAGTATGTAGCCCAGGCTGGCATTGGATTTGTGATTCTTCGGCTTTGGCCTCTAGAGTACTACAAAGACAGGCAAACCCCGCCACGCCCAGCTCTGCTCCGCACTGCTTTCCTAAGAGTGCTTCCCGACCTTAGATTCCCTGTGAAGTGCTGCATCATGAGACCACTATAGCGGCTTCTGCCCTGGTTCAGCTGCCCTGGTCTTGACCAGAGCTGCTTCTGCGTTCTCTTCCCAGGGGGCCTTGTTATCTTTGGGGTAGGAGACAAGCCTGAGGGGAGCCGCAGCAAACAAGTGCAGGCTGTCTGCGGCTGTGGAGGCTCTCACTACCAGGGACGGCTTTCCTTCACATGACCCTCCATCCCCGCCGTCCTCTCTTTACCAAGGACATTTACACCAGCTCCGTTAACAACTGAAACCTGTTACTGCACCTCTTCTATTTTCTCCGGAGAGGCCTCACTTTTATGTTTTTTGAATTCTTCATTTATCTTAACTCTGGCAGCTAGAGAGAGAGAGAAATACATGTAACTTAATACTCATGATTCTTACATGTTATTCAGCACTACTAATTATGAATTTTTACTTCTCATATAAAACAAAGCATGAGCAATGTGTTCTGTGCCAGGCATGATATTACAACACCATAGCAGCAGCACTTAAGAGGATGAGGCAGGAGAATTTTGAGTTTGAGGCCACCTTGGGTTATATATGGTAAGGCTTTTTTCTTCTTCTGGCCCAGAACTCAGAGATTCTCTAGCCTATAAGGCCACCAAGCCTGGCTTCTTTTCATCTTTATTTGTGTACCTCCAGAACTACTGGATTCTAAGAAGTCTGAACTCAAGTATGTCTTGTGTAAATCTAAACATGTATTGGCTTGAGCTAGGGTCTCACTGTAAAGCCGAGGCTATTTTGAACACGTGAGCCCGCTGCCTCAGTCACCAGAGTGCTAGAGTTACATGAATGTGCTACCACACCCAACTAAGACGGGAAGAACCAATGCAAACCGCATATACCTGCACACACAGATGGATCAGTATGGAAGATCTGATCCCGAGCACCTTAGCTAAAGAAAAAGGGAGTGATGAAAGCAGAGTTGCCAGGTGTAGTAGGTAGGTGTGGTGACGCATGCCTTTAAGTACTGGGGGGTGGGCAAAGGCAGGGACGTGCTCTGTGAGTCTGAGGTCAGCACAGTCGACATGGCAAGTTCTAGGATGGGTAAGACTATAAAGTGGCCTGTGTGACTCAAACAACCAAAAAACAAAACAAAACAAAAAAAAAATCTTTTAGGCTAACATATACCACCTACATTGCAGCAGCTTAATAATATGAAGTCCTTAGTAAATATTCAACAAAAGTTCACTAAAACAATAAAATAAATCATGTTGACAGAAAAATAGCCATGGATGTCTCCTTTGGTGCTGATCTTCCTCAGTATGTAAAGGGGTTAAGAGTCTGGTCCTAGCTGGGTGGTAGTGGCGCACACCTTTAATCTCAGCACTCAGAAGGCACAGGCAGAGGCAGGTGGGTCTCTGCGAGTTTGAGGCCAGCCTGGTCTACAGATTAAGTTCCAGGACAGGCTCCAAAGCTACACAGAGAAACCCTATCTCGAAAAACAAAAAACAAAAAGAGTCTGGTCCTAGTGGAGGCTGGAGAGATGGCTCCAGGGGATCTATTACCCTCTTCTGGCTTCCCAGGACACCAAGCACACAAGTGGTACACAAATATACATGTAGGTAAAACACCCATATACACATAAATAAAAAAAACCTTTTTTAAAAAACTGGCTTTTGGAATCAGACTGCTTAAGATAGTCTTCAGTTCTACTGTTGGCTAATGACATCCAGGAAATCTTTTTCATATTTTATCAGTTTTCTCATCTGCAAAAATTGGAATTATAGTATAATTACCTCACAGAGGTAAGAACTGTTTTGTTTTGTTTTGTTTTGTTTTCTGGTTTTTCGAGATAGGGTTTCTCTGTAGCTTTGGAGCCTGTCCTGGAGCTAGCTCTTGTAGACCAGGCTGGCCTCGAATTCACAGAGATCCGTCTGCCTCTGCCTCCCAGTGCCGGGATTAAAGACATGTGCCACCATTGCCCAGCTGCCCAGCTCCTTCTTAGGGAGGTTTGGAAATGCATGGTTAGTAGAAATCAATGAGACCAATACAGAGCCTGAGGTCTCAAGCTGTGACTTCCAAGTCAATCCGAAAGCAAAGAGATGCTGAGCCTGGACTTGTGTGGCCGGATTCTCTCTCACAGTTGCGGTGACTGCTACACTTACTTGGACATTAACAACATGATAGGCAGCACCTGGTTATAGTATAGGAAAATGGGTTAAATGATGTGGGATTCCCCTCTGTATGCTGTGAATATGTTTTATTACCATTGGTTAGTAAAGAAGCTGCTTTGGCCTATGGAGGGGCAGAATATAGCAAGGAGGAAAAACTAAACTGAATGCAGGGAGAAAGAAGGCGGGGTCAGGCAGATGCCATATAGCTGCCAAAGGAGAAAAAGACGCCCAGAACATTACAGGTAAGCCACAGCCTTGTGGCAATACATAGATTGACAGAAATAGGTTAATTTAAGATATAAGAGCTAGCTAGAAATACACCTAAGCCATTGGCCAAACAGTGTTGCAATTCATATAGTTTTTGTGTGATTATTTGGGTCTGGGTGGCCAAGAAACTAAAGCGTAGTCTCTTTTTACAGTTATACTGCAGAGAAATGGGATTCGGAGAGAACCCTGATTCTTACCTGCCCCTTCTATAAATGATTCTATATGGAAACAGGATCATTATAAGTATTAAGTATTCTTCCATAAATACAATATGAGCCAGTCTTGACAGAACATCAGGGAGCCATAAAGGTCATTCCACATGGTCAGAAGAGAACAGCCAGCTAAAGAATGGATGTGCACCAGGGTGGTGGCATACACCTCAGGCAGGTGGACCAGGAGCTCAAGGTCATCCTCTACAAAAGTACCTTCAAAGCCAGCCTGGGATATCTAAGATTCTCAGCTTACGGTGCAACCTAGCCCAATGATGGAGTGCTTTGCTGCACATTGGTGAGGCTCTAAGTTCAATTCCTAGCACTGCAAAACAAATAAAACAAACAACAAAAGCATGGATTTGCTCTAAAGGAGTGAAAAATATATTTACCTTCTAATGCTCTCTTATCATTTTTAAAAACTTGTTGTCTGGTCCTGTGTAGTGTTCTAAAGAGCTGTAAAACCTATTAAGAGAAAGAAGAATTCAGGACCAAGAAGATGGCTCAGGGGATAAAGCACATGCTCTGCAGTTCTGAGTTGTGAGTTCAAATTCCTGGAATCCATATAAAAACCAGATATGAGAGTGCACATCTGTAATCCCTGTATGCCTGTAGCAAGAGGACAGCAGAGAGACAGGGTAATTCTAGACGCTCAAGGAATTCTTGAGCTAGCCTGCCATATGCAGAATCCCTGCCTCAAACAAGGTGGAAGCAAGGACCAACACCTGAGGTTTTCTTCTGACCACACACACACACAGTTCTCTCTCTCTCTCTCTCTCTCTCTCTCTCTCTCTCTCTTTCTCTCTCTCTCTCTCTCTCACACACACACACACAAATAAATAAATAATATAAGATTTTATGGTTAAGAAAAAAAAATCAAAATCAAAGCCAGGCGGCAGTGGTGAATGCCTTTAATCCCAACACTCAGAGGTATAGGCAAACGGGATCTCTGAATCTCTGAGTTGGAGGCCAGCCTGGCCTACAGGGTGAGTTCCAGGACAGCCAGGACTACTCAGAGAAACCCTGTATCAGGAAAAAAAAAATCACATTTTACATAACATTTAAAATTGCTGTATTAGAAGGGTTAAATAGGATTCATTTTCTATTTGTTTTCAGCATAGCTGGTAAAGTAAGAACTTTGCAAAGTATCTTCTGAGTTGCTATGTCTCTTTCAGTTCAAGAACAAAACAAGGTTGGACTGTGAACAGAGAAACCCTGCTCAAAAATCCACACCCATCCACTCCCCACCTCCTCACACAAGAAGCCAAAACAAACAAAAACAATGGGGAACTGGGGAGATGGCGCAGTGGTCAGGAGGATGTACTATATGTAAACTGTTCTTCAGAGGACCTCAGTTTGGTTCCCAACACCCACATCAAGTGGTTCACAACCACCTGTAACTCCTCTGGCCTCTACAGGCATCTGCAACTTGTGCATACATACCCACACGTATGTAATGTAATGAAAGAAAGAAAGGAGGGAGGGAGGAAGGGAGGGAGGGAGAAAGAGAGAGAGGGAGAGGGGGGAAAGAAAGAAAGAAGGAAGGAAGAAGGAAGGAAGGAAAGAAAGAAAGAAAGAAAGAAAGAAAGAAAGAAAGAAAGAAAGAAAGCAAAACACTAATCTTCTAAGCCCAGTACGGTGGCTCATTATCTGTAAATCCAGCACTCAGGAGAGGGAGGCAGAAGAATTAACTCTTCCAGAAGACCTGGGTTCAATCCCCAGCACCCACATGGCACCACACAATTCCAGGTGTTCTGACACCCTCACACAGACATACATGCAGGCAAAACATCAATGCACATAAGATAAAAAAAAATTAAAAACAAAATAAAATAGAAAATCCGCCTTAGATTTAGGGCTGGGGAGATGGCTCAGTGATTAAAATGGTGGTTCAGCAAGGGTCAGGACCTGAATTTGGATCCGTAGAACCCCCCAAAATACAGGATAGATGCACACGTCCAACCTCGAAAGGCAGAGACAGAGGATACCCAAAGCAACTGGCTATCAAGACTACATACTCATATTGGAGAACTCTGGGTTCTGGGTTCTGGGTTCTGTTGAGAGACCCTGCCTCAATAAATAAGGTAGAAGAGCAATAGAAGTATTCATACATGCACACATGTACTCACAAGTACACATATGAAATGGAAAAAATATTTAAGATTTACTTATGAGCATTTTAGATTTAGGATTTTTTATTTTTTTATGCTTGGTCTGTACTTTAAGACAATCACAGGAAATGAACAGACTTGCTATAGGAGAACAGGGAGGAAACAACATTGTGGGGACGGCTTTGAAATTGAGTCATGTGCACAGGAAGGGTTTTTCTTTTCTCTCTCTCTCTCTCTCTCTCTCTCTCTCTCTCTCTGTCTGTCTTTCTTTCTTTCTTTCTTCCTTTCTTTCTTTCTGTCTTCCTTCCTTTCTGTGTTTTTTTTTTTTCTAGTCAGGGCTTTTCTGTGTAGCCTTAGCTGTCCTGGAACTCACTCTGTAGACCAAACTGGTCTTGAACTCACAGAGATCCACCTGCCTCTGCCTCCCAAGTGCTGGGATTAAAGGCATGCTCCACCATTGCCCAGCCAGAAACATGGCTCTTAAAGGCGCCACAGTAGACTGTGTTTAGCATGTAGCAGGTCCTGAGTTCATTTCTCAGCACTACAAAATAAAAAAAATAAATAAATTAAGTGAAAAGAGACAGGCAGGCAGGCAGGCAGGCAGACAGACACACACACAACTAGGTGTCTAGGTACACACCTGTAGTCCCAGCATCTTAGGAAGTAGAGCATGGAAATCACTTGATCCCAAAGATCATATCAAGACCATAGTTTCAAACCAAACAGTAATCTCAGTAATTATATGTAGTACCTAAGGGACTGGGGGTATCCATTAACACAAAAACAGCACCACTAGTTTAAGACCATTATCCTCAAAAAAAGAAAATGGGAGCTGGAGAGATGGCTCCGAGGTTAAAATCACTAGCTGCTCTTGCAGAGGACCCAGGTTCTTCCCATCACCCACATGGCAGCTGACAACCACCTTTAGCTTCAGTTCCAGGAACTCTAACGCCCTCTTCTGGCCTCTGTGGGTACCAGGCATACACATGATACACAGACATTCAGGAACACCACCCATTCAAACAAAATATTTTTAAAAAATTTAAAAATAAAATGTTATCTTTATTGTCACAAAGCTATTGGGACCAATATTACATTGGAGCTAATAAAATAATTACATTTTTTATGTATTATTTATGCAGTACTGGGCATGGAATCCAGGACCTTGACCATGCTACGGGATCTACTACTGAACTAAATACAGCCACATCCCTACTAAAAAACTTTTCAAATAAAAAAGTAGCTGGGTGTAATGGCTCACACCTGTAATGCCAGCACTTGGCATGCAGACTGCTGAGTTGGAAGCCAGACAGGGGCTACACAGAAAGTCTGAGGACAGATCCTCCTAATTCCCAATTAAACTTTAGGTCTCTGCCTATGGTTCCTTGTGATTTCATTTCTTTCCTTTTTAAATTTTGAGACAAGACCTACGTTGTCTGGGATAGCCATGGACAAGAGGTTCAGCAATGCAGTCACTCCCTCTCTAGAGCTTTCTGAATTCCTCTAGGTAAGTTAAAACCTAGTTACAAGCTCACAAAACAAGCTGTGTTTTTAGTTTGAAGAAGTTCCTGCGATTTTATTGCTTATAATCTTCTATACTACTGGTTTCTTTATGAAGGCAAGGGCCGTCAGTTTACGATCATCACCCTCCTCCACTCACCATCTCTCATGGTTGTCACCCCCTCACTCACTGTCCCTCATAGCTGCCACTCTCCACTCAGCGTCCCTCGGCATCCCCCTCCGCTCACCGCCGATCGGGGTTGTCACCCTCATCAATCACTCTCCCTCGGGGCCGTCTCCCTTCCCACCCACTGCTCTCATGGTCGTCACCCTCTTCCACTGACTCCTCCACTCTGCGTCCCTTCGGGTCGCCTCCCTCGCCTGCCGAGGGTCCTGATCTTCAGCTTCCCTGCACCCTCCTCCCCAGCCCTGTCACCTTGGCAGGCTGACCCATGGCTCCCCACGCCGCTGCCACCGCCTCTCAAGCCGCCCCCTCTCGATAACCAATCAGGGCCGGGGCGTGGCCAGGAAAGCTCCGGCATAGCAACCAATCAGGGCGTAGCTCCTCCTCCCTAGCCCGCCTTCTCCACAGGAAAACGACCAGGCGTTTGCTAAGTAGAGCCAACTATAAAATCGCGAGAAGTCACAGAACCAAATTACGAAAAGGAGAACGGAAGTAACCGGAAGCCATGTTTGTTAGGGTCAGAGTTCCTTCCGCTTTGCCGCTTGCCTGGTTATTAGTTACTGGGTGACCTTACCACCTGCTCGTTTTTACCTTCCGTTTTAGGGCGTTGGTCGTCTCTTAAAGTTTCTATATTTTAACGTTTCCCAGCTGTGACTGTCTCCTTGGAAACGTGTGCAAACAAAAGCCAAGCCCTAACAAACACAGCCGCTACAAATCAGAACGCTGACTCCTAAAAGTTCTGTTTATACATTTGCTTAATTACTCCCCCAGAAGGTGCCGCTGAGCTGCCCGCTCAAGTTCACACGGTTGATCCCAGAGACTCCTCACCTTCTGCATTACCATTAGCCTCCTTATCTTACCCTGCTCTTTGGTTTTGCTGAGGTAGAAAATCAGCTATTAAAAAGCTTCACAGTCAGAACTGGAGAAATGGCTCAGTGGTTGAGAGCACTGATTGCTCTTCCTAGAGGATTTGAGTTCAATTCCCAGCACCCACATGGCAGCTCACAGCTGTCTGTAACTGCAGTTCCAGGAGCCCTGATATCCATAGGGAAACGCCAATGAGCCTTAAAAAAATACATTAAAAAAAAAAAAGCTTCACAGTTGTAACCATAAAACATTTATATACTTAGAACTTACAGGCATGCTTCCTTCTTTCTATTTCACAATCGTTTGCCTTCAACACTCCTGTATAGCATTTGAGGTTATTTTTAGGTAAAATTGTTTATTAAAAAAAAGTTTTGAGAGCTGGATGTGGTGGTACCTCTTGTAAGCCCAGCGTTTGGGAGATAAAGTCAGGAGTATCAGCCTAGACTATAAGAAACTCTGTTTCAATCAAAAAGCTAAAGAGGGCCAGGCGGTGGTGGCACATGTCTTTAATCCCAGAATTTGGTAGGTCAGCCTAATCTACAGATTGAGTTCCAGGACAGCCAGGACTAAACAGAAAAAACCTTTCTTCACTAAGAGAGACGTACATTAAAAAGGAAAGAAAAGAGAGAGAGAGAGAGAGAGAGAGAGAGAGAGAGAGAGAGAGAGACAGAATCTTTCTTGAAAAACAAAAAGTGTGGGTAAGTTTGATTGGTTTGGCTTTGAGACAGGGTCTCACTATAGAGCCCTGCCTGGTTTGAAGCTTGCTCTATAAATCAAGCTGGTCCATTGGAGCACTGGACTTAGCTCCCAAGGTCCAGATGAGGAGCAAAAGGAGGGAGAACATGAACAAGGAAGTCAGGACCATGAGGGGTGCATCCACCCACTGAGACGGTGAGACTGATCTAATGGGAGCTCATCAAGGCCAGCTGGACTGAGAGTGATGGAGTATGTGGTCAAACTGGACACTCTGAATGTGGCTGGCAATGAAGGCAGACTGAGAAACCAAGGACAATGGCACTGGGTTTTGATTCTACTGCATGGACTGACTTTCTGGGAGCCTGGTTTGTTTGGATGCTCACTTTTATAGACCTGGATGGAGGGGGAGGACCTTGGACTTCCCACGGGGCAGGGAACCCTGACTGCTCTTAGAACTGGAAAGGGAGGGGGAGGTGGGGAGGAGGCAGAAATTTTAAATAGATAGATAGATAGATAGATAGATAGATAGATAGATAGATAGATAGATAAAATAAATCAGGCTGGTCTCAAACTCACAGAGATTTGCCTGCCTCTGTCTCAGAGTGCTAGGATTAAAGCTATACATCATCACATCTGTAATTTTCCTCAGAAATGCCTTCTACTTTATTTGAGACCTAGAACTGGCCTAGAACTCACCAGTTAAGCTAGACTTGCCTAGTCTCAAAGAACTTCCTGTCTCTGCCTGCCTGGTGCTAGGATTACAAATGTGTAACAGCTTGCCTAGCAAGTTGTTTTGAGAACAGCAAGATAACTGTCAACTTTTAAAAACTGTTAGTGATGGCTGGAGAGCTGGCACAGAAGTTAAGAATGCAGGCTGTGAGGGCCTGAGAGATGGCTAAGCAGTTAAGAGCACTTGCTTCTTTTCCAGAGGACCCTCATGGCAACTCACAACTGTTGGTCATTCCTGTTCCAAAGGATCCAACATGACACCCTCACACAGACATATATGTGGGTCAGGCACCACTGTACAGAAAATAAGTTAATTTAAAAAAAAAAAGTGCTGGCTGCTGTTCCAGGGAACCTGAGATCAGTTCCCAGCATCCATATGGCAGCTAACAATGGTCTGTAAATCTAGTGGATTCCTGGGGATCCACACCCTCTTCTGGCCTCCAAGGACACCACATGCAAATGATGTAGATATACATATAAGCAAATAATTATACACATAAAAATCTCAAAAAAACTGTTACAGAGGTTCTATAATTACAGAAAAACATTTACTATAACCAATTATTAAATCAAGTGTAATGGCTATTGTCTTTTATCCAAGAAATAGTAAATTAGGTCGTCTGTGACATTCAATTGTAGTGCCTTCTGGAGTAATCTTTTTTTAAAAAAAAAATTACACTTCAGTACTGTCTTAGTTAGGGTTTCTACTGCTGAGATGACACACCATGACCATAAAGTAAGCTGGGGAGGAAAGGGTGTATTTGGTTTACACTTCCTCATCACTGTTCATCACTGAGGGAGTCAGGACAGGAACTCTTAACCGCAGATACAGTGGAGGAGTGCTGCTTACTGGCTTGCTTCCCATGGCTTGTTTAGCCCACCTTCGTATAGTACCCAGGCCCAGCAGCCCAGGGATGGCACCACCCACCATAGGCTGGGGTCTCCCCCGCTGATCACTAAATAAGAAAATGCCTACAGCTGGATCTCAAGGAGGCATCTCCTCAGTTGAGGCTCCTTCCTCTAACTGTGTCAAGTTGACACACAAAACCACCCAGTACAAGTACTATAGCAAAGTTTCCTTTAAAAATACAGTTTTGTAATAATAATTTCTGGCTAGAAAGTTAACCAAAAACCCTCCTGTGTTATTTGAAAATAGCATAGTTCCTGTGGCTGGAGAGAAGGCTCAGTGCTTAATAGCACTTACTGATCATGCAGAGGACCTGGGCTGAGTGACCGGCATCTACACAGTGGCTCACAACTGTCTATAACTTCAGTTCTGGGAGATCCAGTGCCCTCTTCTGGCCTCCTACATAAAGTCCCCATAAAGCATACACACATAAATATATAAATTGATAAAATTTTAAAAGAAAATATAGTTCTACAGTGCCCAACCAGAGCAGTGAGCTTTCTCCTGAACAAACATATTCCAGTTCCTTCAGCTATTCCACAGAAGAAGTGAAACGAGATGGCTCAGCACTCTTTACTGCTCTGGTTATTTGGGGAACGTGTCCTGGGCTGCATCTAAACAGGAAAACTGAACTGAAGAAACACCAGAATGTGAGTTCACGGAACCCTGTGGCTGGCAGAATAATGTCACCCCCCCACGCTCCCCCCAAAAGGATGCATGCACTCAGATGCCCAGAATTTCACATAGTCTTTGTTATGCCCAAATCCACGAAGTCCCCCAAAAGCCAACAAGGAGACCGAGTCCCGTATGTAAAAGCAAAGAGCCTTTATTTTATGCAAGTTTGCAAACTCAGTCTCTCCGCATGTCCAACATATTGGAATAAATGGAGAGCCCCGAGATCAGTTAGAGTTGGGTATTTAGAGTAGTAAAAGTGGGGGTGAGGGGCTTCTGAGGTTCAGGATCCCTGATTGGCTGAAATTTGTCTAGGGGTGTCCT